ACATAACTAATATGATGAATTTGAAACGACGACAAAAGACAAGAGACCAGATTTTAGTGTTTTCGCTAAAATATAAAGCTGACGAGATTCTCCCAGAATATAGTACAAGCTTTTAATGCTATGTACAGTTTGATTTGTCCAGACAAAAGCCGAATAATTGTTGAAAAATGAAAATCAAAATTGGAGATTGTAATTTTTTATTATATTTTTTTGGATAGGAGATTGTATAAATAGGACTGATAAAATTTTGTAATTCAGAAGTTAAAAAACTGAAAATCTATATCAGTAAATTTATGGATAAATTGCAAATAAATAGCAACATCTAAGAAAATTGTGAAGAAATAAAGAAATAAAATTAGCTGCGAAAGACATGGAAGGTCAAAAAATAAAATATATAGTCTCATTATCAAGATGTGAAATCTAATTATTCAAAATTGAACCAAAAAATCCTTCATTTTCTTTGAATTTACCAAACTCCCCTTTCTCTTCACATCATGCTCCTTTCTTTTGCACTTGCCTTTACAACTTTGGTAGTCAACCACTACTGTCGTGTCCTTTACCACCATCCCCATCCCGTGTCCTTCCCCCTCTATTACTCTCCCACCGTTTTAAATCCTCATCTCATTCATCCAACAACTTATTTTCAACCAAAACTTAGGCATTGGAGCTGTGATAAACCCCCTAGCCTTTCCTCATGTTGACTTGAAACTTCCAACCACCATTTTCGCAAAAACAAAGTTTTATGGAAGTGCCACTTTTGCTAGATACAAGTTACACATGTGCCAAATTATTTTTTGCAAGAATGAGTGTTACGTGTTTTGGGTCATGACAAAGAGGTGTTAGAGGAGGTTTATGGTGATTGGAGTGGCGAGAAGTGGAATCCATGACAATGAAAGAGTTGTAAGCAATGAAAGTGGCTGAAGAGGGTTGGGGGATGGTAAAGAAGGGTCAGGGATAGCGGGGGAAGGTATGACAATAGTTGTCAGCTAGGGGTGGGCATGGTTTAGATTGGTTTGGCTTGGAATAAAACCAAAACCAATCCGTTGTCTACGGTTTCATAAAAATTGAAACCATTCCAATCCATTTAAATCGTGGAACCAATCCGAACCAAACCATTTAAACACGGTTTAGCTCAATTTGGAACCATGGATTCACATAATCTATTAATAAAGAAAAATCATATAACATTTTCATTTTAACAATAATCTGTCTATAATTTTTGAAAACATGAACATGCATATTGTTCAAAAATTAATTTAAACAAATATAATATCTAGTTCTACAACAACAATAGCAGTAGCCATCACCAAATTTAAAAAAAAAAAAAAAAAACCTGATTCTACCATTACGCCATTACAAAACTAAAACTATGAAATGACACAACAATAGTAACAAAGCAGCTGTTGCACACAAAGAGAAGAGAATAGAAGAGAATGAAATGTTATAAATTAGGATTTTGGTTTGATATATAAGAGATAGGATATAGTATGTATCAGGGATGCATGGTGTGAATATAATCTAAGTTGCATACAGTTTGGATCGGTTTCAATCCGAAACCATGAAGTGAAATCCGAAAAAGATCCACTGGAAACGGTTCCTCAATTTTTCAATCCATAATTGGACCACGGATTCAAAAATCCAGTCCAAACCTACTAGGTTAGACTAGATTGATTCGGTTTGTAGATTTTACGGATTCCTTGTTTAGTACTATTCTTAACGACAGTAAACAAATATACAACAGGGAAATAGTACTATTAGAGGGTAGGTTGGTCCTAAAAATTCTAGATTCAACCTCTTCATAATTACTTTCAAAGCTTTCATTAATTTTTCAATTTGAGAAATATTTCATTGATTTACTAATATTTTTAATTTACTTCATGTTTATGTAATTTTATCTAATTTTATATACACTATTACTGGCCTTTTCTTTTCTTTTCTATTTTTTATCCTTGTCCCCCTATAAGTTTGTATAAAACACGAGATTTAGCCACCGATAAAATAAATGGATAAATTACACTTTGCCACATTTATGTTTGGCTATTTTTCACTTTGGCCTTTAAAGTTTATTTTTTCTCACTTTAACCCTTCATGTTTCAATCTCTCCTCAGTTTACTTCTAAAATTAATTTCTATTAAAAATTAAACAAAAAATTATATATTGATAGTAACGTGGCATAAAAATATTTTATTATATATAACTCATATCTCTAAAATAAACTTAAATCTCAATATAATAATATATATTTTTATATTATGTGACAGTCATTATGATATTTTTTGCTTAATTTTGAACAAAAGTTAGCTTTAAGAGTAAATTGGAAAAAATTTAAAACATAAAAGGCCAAAATGGAAAAAAAAAAAAGAAGAAGAAACTTTAGGAGCCAAAGTAGGAAAGTGACCAAACATAAAAGGAGCAAAGTGTAATTTACCCAAAATAAATTCAAACAGATCCAATGTCACTAATGTGCGTGAAGCACAACAGTGACTGTTGTGCGGCCCGTGGAACTCATTTCGGATCTTATTTTGATGATCCGAACCGTTGAAAATTTAGAAAATATCGAGAGCCATATACCTGTAAAAAATAAAGTTAATCAGATATCAATAGCATGTTCATCAACTAACATCTTCATATAAAAAAATGAATATGTATGTATCAAACTAAATACAAATGTTATTTAATGAATATGTCATTAATATCCAATCAACTTGATTTTTTATAGGTATATTGTTCTCGATATTTCCTAAATTTTCACCGGTTCGGATCATCAAAATAGGACCAAAAATGAGTTTCACAGACCGCACAATAGTCACTGATGTGCTTTACGCACAGCAGTGACACTGGATTCAATTCAAACACAGGTTAGGGCTCAAAATTGCTTTTCAATGTCAAGGAATTAACTCTACATGTTACTATTACTTCATTAACCCTTTCTCTACTTTTCTTTTGGACAAGGCATTTCCCCTTGTTTGAGGATAATTTGAATAATCTATTTTGTACATCTACTTTGTTAAATAAATAAGCACAAGAATAATAAAGTGCTTTCTTCAACATAGACCCACAAGAAGTTTGAAGAATCTAATCACCCAATAATTTTTCAACATCTATTTTACGTTTGAATAAAGATTGAGAGCTCTAATTTTGAAGCTCTAAAGAGAGCTTTAGTGATGTGTTAAGGAGTGAGGCCCACATGTGATATGATGTGTATGCCTATGTTTTTGTTCAAAATTACAGCTCTCTATTATTGTTGTTTAAGTTTCTGATTATACTTGATGAAGTACAAGCTTAAAAAAGAAGGAGAAGACAACTCATTACTTGACTGTCATTAAAACAGAAGCCTATGCAATTAAGACCCAAAAACAAACCGTGATTATTCACAAGAGCAATGGCTCTAAAATTGCACCTCAAATATAGTAGTTCTGATGTCAACAAAATGAAAATGAACATAATGTAGAGGAGGGGGGATACAAAATATGTATTACTTCGAAATCTTATTTTCTACTAGAGCTGCCCTTCCATGACAACTTCAACAATGGATGAGAATAGGCCCAAATAATGGCGTCCAATTGAAGAGAATCTGAAAATGATGTTAATCAGATTCAAAAAACACCTCTTAGAAACACAAACACAAACACAAAAATGCCAGGTTTTTTTTTTTTTTGTAACTATTCAAAAAGATAAAACAAGTTTAGGCATCAACTTTCACACAAGCAATGGTGACCATTTTTAAGCATACCAAGATAGAAGTAAAATTAAATGTAAATTACAACTACCTCCATTGAAGTTTCAAACAGATACAAAAGAAAAAATAACAAAAATAGCCCCTTCTCTCTTTCTCACGCATGCATTATTTTGTGTATCAACACACTCTAAACGAGGCTATTTCAATGGCCTTCATAGTTCAAAGTCAAACCATGAAGTATATGACACCCTGAAAAACCCTAATCTGGTAAAGCTGGATAGATTGAAATTAGGCATGGATATTGACAAAATAACAAGAATGGTGCAGTATGCTTACTTGAAAGAGACAACCTTCGGGAGAGAAAATGAATATGTGACAATTGTAAACGCCTCCAAAGTGGAGAGAACTACAACTCATTTGATCTTTTGGGTGTCTTATTTTTATTTGATTTGCGTTTGAACATATTTGTGCATTAAACATATAGTGTTGAAGGAATAATAAGATATGCTAATTTTACCTTTCTCGAGCTTTTGATACTATTTTTTGCCTCTAACCCAAATTATTACCATCAAGCGAGACTAAGCTCTCAACATAGGTATCCACCGGAAGACAGTTGCACATGTTAGGTATTGTTAGGTATTCCAGGATTCCTAAATTTACCATCTTTCAAATTGTAGAGAACTAACCGATTCTCAAATTTCAATAAAATTTCACCATTCTTCGAAATGCACAATGGTGTGTAGTGGCAAATTCTTAACACTACAAAATCAGCAATGGTTGAGGGCCACAATTTTTGTGTCTCAAATGGCTCAAAATTTCCAAAACGACATCGTTTTGGCAATTTCGAACCATTTGAACCACAAAAATTATGACCCTCAAACATTTTTTCTACAGAATATGGTGTCGTTTTGACAATTTCGAACCATTTGAGCCACACAAATTGTAACCCTCAAATATTTTTCCTACAAAATATGGTATTGTGAATAGAAAAAGCTTGGTAGCTCAAAATTTGCGGTCCAATGGCCCGAATTTGATAGAAAGCATTGGCAACCACTCTCTCTCCAAAGGAAAATGTTTGAAGGCCACAATTTTTGTGGCCACAATGGCTTAAAACTGTCAAAACGACGTCGTTTTGGCATGTTTTACACCTAAAACGACATCATTTTGACAATTTTAAGCCATTATGACCACAAAAATTGTGACCCTCTACCATTGTTGCTCTCCAAAACCCACTCCAAAAACAAACACACGCACGTTTTCTCTCGTCTCTCTATCTCTTTCTCAGACCAGACCCAAGAAATCCGTGATAATTGGTCTCTTGCTCATCCTTCTTCTTCGCTCACACTTGACACTGAGCAACTGGAGCCAACATATCTCAACCGATGGCGAAGATTGGGTTAGTTACTCCTCATTATCGACCAGAACAACAAGAATCTCAGGTAAACTCGATATTGCAAAACTAGGGTTTTTGTTTTGATTTCAATTTCTGTAGGGTTTTTGTTTTGATTTCAATTTCTGTACAAAATCATAAATTGTGACTGTTTGGGTTTGGATTTTGCCTTTAATTTTTGAAACTAGGGTTTTTACTTTCTATCTCTAGCCTGCTAGCTCTGTAAATTGGTCTATGATCTATAAAATAGGAATTTGATTCTTCCAATACCATTTCTACAAGTACCCATTTGGTGAATTTGGTTTTTCTTTGGAGAATTTAAGCAAACATTTGATGCTATCCAGGGTTCTGTCGAAAACCCAATTTAGGAGCACTGTTTAGAGACCTAGCGCATTTCAGTTCTTGTACAATTCAAGTAGAATTTGATGCTTTCTGGTCCTGTTTTGGGTAACCCTTAAAGGGTCTATGCAACCACCTTTTGTTTGGGTTTTTGTGCTTTTGATTCATATCTTCAACTTCTAACAACTGGTATACTTCCATATCAAGAGTTCTTTAGACTCCATTATTTCCTGGTTTGAATCTTAATTTGTTCTCATCATTTGTGTCTAAAATTAAGAGATTCAAATAATTGTTTTCTAGTTTGAATCTTATAGCATATTATTATATTCAAATGTGCTTTAGACTCCATTAGAACAAGTTTCTGAATTTTTCACTCATATTGAGCATATTTCAATTGAAAAGCATCATAGTTTCCCTTTTCTGGGTCTTAAATCTTTATATATTTTTTCTTTTGTGAGTTGAAATAAAACTAAAATGTTCAAAGTAAACATTGATGATAAAGAATGCTTACCGTTCTTACCTTAAGTGCTTGACCAATAGATAAGCTGTTAGGTTCAGAATTCTGTATAAATTTGTGTTTGACACTGTAATTCCATGAATTCTGTTTAATTTTGTGCATGCTATTTAGTAATTCAAAGGTTTGGTCATTAGTAAATTTAGTTCTAGTTTGTTAAAGGATCTGAAATCCTAAGGAATTTTGAAATCTAAATTCAGTTCTAGTATTTCACAATAGAAGTTTACAATGGAATAATGAATACTCTTGGTTTGAACATGCAGGTTAGAAGGCCAAGTGCACTCAGTCAAGCACATCTAGCATGCCAATGCCAAGGCAAAAGCCTACTCCATCAAGCAAGGCCGTGCCAATTCACCCAAATTCCAATCAGTCAAGTAGGGATAGTAGGCTAGTGCCCACTCACCATATTCCAATCAACCAAGGGTAGCAGCCCAAGAATTTTTCTTTTCTTTTGTTTTGTTTGTGTATCAAGGGTAATAGAGAAAGACAATTGCTTTTGTGGGATTTTGTTTTGTGGACCGTTGCTGCTGCTATTTTATATGATCAATTGAATGTTAGTTTATATTCTTACTATTTTTTTGTCATTGCCAATGGTTTATCTATGATGAATTTGTTTAATTCAGTTAGTGTTTAGTTGTCAATACATGTTCATTCTCATGTCACATAACTTTACAAATTACCTGTTTGTTTTCATTACATTAGAAAATATTTTGTGTTTAATTGATTACTTTTGTTTTTCATTCCACATTTCAACCAAAACATCACCCAAAAAAAACAAAGAACAAAAAAAACATAACATTACAAAACATAAAATATACAATACACAGGTTCATTCTCATTTCACAAAACAACATAACATTACAAAACTAAGTTTCACCCCCATTACAATGTGCTACGTCACCCCCATTACAAAACATAGCTTCAGGCCCTTTCATATCCCCAAAACCCCATACATTTGCTCAATTCACATCAATTTCTAATTCCATTTCTCATTTTCAGTGTCACTCGTCAGCACCACTAATGATCCACCAACAAAACAGCACCCAAGTAATCACAAGACATGTTAGCAACCCTCTTTCTCTTGCTCTCTGAATCTGGGGTTGTTCTTGAAGCACAATTGTTCTCCTTTGCAATCCTGGTAATCTGAAAAAAATTATATTCAATTTGGATTTAAATAAGTAATAATTGCAATAATTGCAACCTAAAGCAAAGATAGAGCATAGAGAAAGAAGGGTTCATACATAGGGCTTCAATTTTGGATATTCAATTTTTTTTTTTTCCCCCTCAAAAGGTTCAACTCTTAACACCTCATGTTGTCAATAGGGCTCCAAATGATTTGTAAAATCATTTTTAATACTACATAATGTATATATTGTCATATAATTTCAATTAATTCAGGATTTCAGGTTTTCAATCAAAAATCAGACATCAGCATTCATCTTGGGATTAACCACTTAAAATACCTCCCCTTCTTTGGTTCTTCAACTTCACCACTCTCATTAAATTCAAGATTGTTATCCTGTTGTTCAACTTTCTCACTCACATTGAATGAATTATTGTTTGAATTAATATCCATTGTAGCTTCAAAGTAAAATAGAATAGACATTCAGAGATAAACTCAAATTCAATTTAACAGTACAATTACTAATTCTTGAAAACAACAATAACAACACAAAGAAACTCAATTTAAGTTTAACAGCTTTTCTTTAATTCTTCAATTTAAGTTTAACAGTTTAGAGACAAACTTAATTTAACTTTAACAATTTAAGTGTTTAGAGATAAACTCAATTTATGTTTAACAGTTTTTTCTTTAACAGTTTTTCTCTAATTCTTCAAACTGAAAAAAAACAAAACAAAACAAAAACAAACTCTACATGGATGGCCTGGGATGACTGTTCAAACTGGAAAAACAACTTTACATAGACATTCAAACTAAAAAAAACTTTGTTCAAAGTTGTTTATCTTTACATCACTATTTCTAAGCACAGACATGATCAAATAGGCACAATTGATGGCGTGGGATCCCCTCCTACAGTGGATTTTATAGGATAAACAACTTGTTCATTTTTTTGGGGGTAAATGATCAAATAGCCACAATTCTTCATTATAAGATTAAAAAAAAAAATAGTGCTTCTAAGCACAGACATGATCAAATAGCCACAATTCTTCATCCCTTCAATTAAAAGGTGAACAACTTTAAACAATACTCAATACTTGTTCATTTTTTTTTTCTAAGCAAACATAAAGAGTTAATCAAATCAAAATACTAATTCTTAATCACACAATGTGAAACCCTAAATTAACAACAAAACCAACAAATTTCAGATCATACAGAGCCTGTTAACTAAAATTCAATATCCATTCTAGCTTCAAAGTGAAATAGAATACAAAATTTTAGAGTTAGTGGACAAAACATTGATGGCCTCCAACATTCTTATCACACAACAATCAACATTACAAGAAAGCAAACAAGAACAATAATTTGCAAGTCAAGACATACAGTTAGTGGACAATTTTAGAGTAATGTTCTCAAATTGTTGCAAACATGAGAGTATATATGATGAAGGGGTAGCTTTTATACCACCAATGTTAGGCAAAAATTCTATACCAATAGTGCAGTGCCCAGTGCCCAATTTATAACAATAGTTCAAGTATTCTTTTCTAGTAAAAACAATTATCTTATTGTAACAAATATTGAGATTTTTATTAGTAACCTTCTATAAAAAAAAAAAATCTGTAACAACTAATTCATTAAACCACCAAAAATTTATACCAATAGTGCAGTGCCCAGTGCCCAATTTATAACAATAGTTCAAGTATTCTTTTCTAGTAAAAACAATGATCTTATTGTAACAAATATTGAGATTTTTATTAGTAACCTTCTATAAAATAAAAAAAATCTGTATCAACTAATTCATTAAAGCTATTTGAGATATGCAAAACAATGACAAAAGTTGGGGAAAGAATGACGAAGGGACATGGCAGCCACTTTAAGAATTTGTCATTGAATAGAATGTCATTGAACAGAATTTGTCATTATTAAAGAATTCTTGAATTATTTGTGTCCTTTAATGACAAAATCTGTAACAACTAATCCTTTTGCCGTGACATATATACCCATATATGTATTTTAGAAATCAAAATTCTGTATTTAGAACTTCTGTATTTAAGATTCAAATTAGTACCGAATTTCTGTCAAATTAGTACCAAAACAGTGTAAAATACAAAATTCTGTATTGACAGTATTTAGAAATTCTGTATTGACAGAAATTCTGTATTTTAGAAGTCAAAATTCGGTATTAAAAATTCAACCCAAAACAGCGTTGATTTCGTGTCTTGACAGAGCAATTGAAGAGCAAATGAAGAGCAAATCACACAAGAGGAAACAAAATACCTATGGACACAGTAATTTCTGCAACTCAAACAGTGAAGACTCCTCTTCTTCCACTATGGACAACACAACGGCAGCAGCTTGCAGCACCCACGGCAGCAACAGGACCCAGATCACTCCTCTCACTGTGACGCTAGGTTACGAACGATACATGCTTCTCTCTCTTTAATCTCTATTGTTGTTTTTCTTTTTCTTTTTTTATTGTTTTCCAAATGAAATGTTTGGGTGTGGGACACTCTGTATCTGGCAAAGCAGTCCATGTTTGGCACTACTTTTTCAAAAATCTGTTTCTCAAAACGATTTGCCAGATTTGGACTCTTTGGTTCAGATTAAGAACCGTGACACAAATCGAGTCCGAACTGTAGCACGAGGCCCCACGCGGGCGCTGTTACAGTAAGGGAACAATGATCTCGGCTAGGAAGGGCAACACTTGACTAAGCTGTGCCACACCTTGGTCTAGGTCACACCACTCCAGGACAAGATCACTTAGGTGCAAAGGTAATATCTCGGCCTAGATGATTCACATCTCGGCCTTGGTGACGAACACCTCGGCCTAGATAATGACATCTCGGCCAATATGTCAGGGCGAAGGTGGAGGTCAAACAAGGTGGTTCCAAGGTAATTCTAGACTGAAGACGACCACGGCTAAACTCACACTAGGCGAGGTGCAAAACATGCTGTAACACTCAAACGAACAAGGTCAAGACTCGAAATGCAAGTTTACAAGACAAAATCACATGAATGCATATGAGTATGGTTAGGATAGTGTGAGGGTTATTACAAAACCACCGCTCCTTACTCACCTCAGGAAAATGAAATTGCTGAAAGGAAAAATATGACTTTAAAAGAAATGATGAATGCCATGTTAATCAGTTTTGGATTACCTCAGAACTTGTGAGGGGAAGCAATACTTTCTGCTAATTATATTTTAAATAAAGTACCCCGAAAGAATGTGAATCAAACACCTTATGAAATGTGGCATGGTAGAGTACCATCCTACAAATACTTAAAAGTGTGGGGGTGTTTGGCTAAAATGGCTATTCCTAGTCCTAAAAAGACTAAGATAGGTCCTAAGACCATTGATTGCTTTTTCATTGGTTATACCAAGAATAGTAGTACATATCGATTTTTGATACATAAATCAGAACATTCCGAAATGCATGTAAATACTATTATTGAATATCGGAATGCATCTTTCTTTGAACATGTATTTCCAAATGAGACTGGACAAGAGATTAGTAACCATAAAAGATCTCATGTTGCTATTACTAGTCAGGATCAAGAACAAGAGTTAGATCAAAATGAGGAAGAGGAACCTAGGCGTAGTAAACGTGCTAGAACCTCAAAATCTTTTGGTCCAGATTTCCTAACATTTTTGTTAGAAAATGAGCCTTTAACTTTTAAAGAGGCTATGTCCAGTCTTGAAGCTCCTTTATGGAAAGAAGCTGTCAATAGTGAAGTTGAATCCATCTTGCAAAATCACACTTGGGAATTGGTGGATTTGCCACCAGGTTGTAAACCTCTTGGATATAAGTGGATTTTTAAAAGAAAATTGAAAGTGGATGGATCAATTGACAAATACAAGGCAAGACTTGTGGTCAAAGGATTTAGACAAAAAGAAGGTCTTGATTACTTTGATACATACTCATCGGTTACTAGGGTAACATCCATTAGAATGCTAATTTCCATTGTGTCACGACCCGAACCCCCTCCCTATAGGTTAAGGACGTAACCGGCCAGTAATCCTGAGATTACCTACGGCCTCAAACCAAAATAGACATAACCCAACAGAGTAAAGGGGGCCGAACCGAAGCAATAATCAAAAACTTTGTCCATAGAGCCGTGCTTATATGCACTTTAAAACAAACCATACTCACATATGTTAATAACCCACGTCAAAAGTACGGTACCATAAAATTCTTTTCAAACAGGATCATCCAACTAAGTCAACCCATGATAGACTATTTACAAATATACATAAAGTCCTTGCCAGCAAGACAGAATATAGTTACATAACAAAATGGCAAGGATAGGTCTCGTGCGTGAGACACAAGGCTGACTTTCTCAAAACTCATGTTGTTCCTGGCAGACTTCACTGGGGCTGGGTTTGGACTTCTCTCGGCTCACCTACAAACACATGAATGAGCGTGAGCGATAGCCCAGTGAATAATATCGAATA